ATGATGGTCATAATAATATACTTCACCATCGAAATGGGCAAATTATGAAAAAAAAATAAGAAAAGATTAAAAGCGGATCAAGTCGGCATTCTAAAAATGAATGTTATAGATGTGGTGTGAAGAGACACTCGGTCTTGTAATCGTCGTACACCAAATCACCTAGTTGAGCTTTATCAAGCCTTATTGAAAAAGAAAGAAAGTGATATAGATGTAAAATTTATATACCAAAATAATGATTGTGAGAATATTCCTCTTAAAGGTTTTAGTAATTTGACACATTTAGATGTTGCTGATTTCTTTAACGATTCTAAAAGAAAAGATCATTAGATCAATGATAATAATTAAAATTAACATCTTGTTACCTTCTCTATTGATAAATAAAGAAGTTTTATGTTTTCTTATAATTTCTATTACATCATGATAGTTATATATATATATATATATATATATATTATGTTTATGAAGAAAATATGGATACTACCAAGTTTGCAAATGGTTTAAACATTATCGAGGAGAATCTATGCCTCGTGGATAGTGCAACAACACATACTATACTTAAAAATAAAAGGTATTTCTTTAATTTAATGATGGGCAAGGCTAATGTCAACACTCTATTTGGTAGTGTTAATTTAATTGATGGCTCTAGAAGAGTAAATATTTTATTACCTGGAGGGATAAATTTGATGAGTTTTAAAGATATTCGTTTAAATGGATATCATATTGAGATAACAAATGTTGAGAATATTGAATTCTTATATATTATAAAATTTTTATATCAAGTAGAGAATATATATTGGAGAAATTACTCGCCTTATCTTCTAGCATTTATTATACAAATATTCAAATGATTGAATTTACTATTTTTTTTATTATATGGCATGATCGGTTGGGCCATCTTGGATTCATTATGATGCAAAAAATTATTAAAAATTCATATGGACATCCATTGAAGAACCAAAAGATTCTTCAATCTAATGAGTTTTCATGTCCTGCATGCTCTCAAGGCAAGTTTATTATTAAGCCATCGGTAAATAAAATTGGGATTGACTCTTTACTATTTTTAGAATGTATAGAAGGTGATATATATGGACCAATTCATCCACCACATGGACCATTTAGATATTTTTTGATTTTAATAGATATATCTATAAGATGGTCACATATGTGCTTATTATTAACTCGAAACCCGACGTTTTTTAGGTTACTTGCTTAAATAATTCGATTATGAGCATAATTTTCAGATTATACCATTAAAATAATTCACCTTGACAATGCTTGGTGAGCTTACCTCTCAACCATTTAATGATTATTGCACGTCTATTGGAATGAGAGTTGAACGCACTGTTGCTCATGTTCATACTCAAAATGGTTTAGCGGAATCATTTATCAAAAGCCTTTAATTGATAACTAGACCATTACATATGAAAAAAAACTCTCTGTTTATGTTTGAGGATATGCAATTTTACATGCAACAATACTTATTTGTATCGAGCCCACAAGTTATCAAAAATAATCTCATCTTCAATTGATTTTTGGTCATGAGCCTAATATTTCTCATTTAAGGATTTTTAGATGTGCAATATATATCCCAATTACTCCTCCACAATGAACTAAAATGGGTCTTCGGAGGAGATAAGAATATATGTTGGATATAAATCTTCTTTTATAATTAAATATCTTGAATCATTAATAAGGGATGTTTTCACGACTCGATTTGCTAACTCGTCATTTTGATGAAATAATTTTTCTAACATTAGGGGAGAGAATAAACGGAATAAGCGATTAGAAATATTAAAAAAAAAGTTATGTGGAATACTTCATCTTTATATCATCTTAATCCCCGTACAAAAAAATATGAATTTAAAATTCGAGAGAATAATTCATTTAAAAATTCTTACGATCTAACTCGCTAGATACATTCTCTAATCCAAAGAGAGTAACTAAATCATATGTTCCCGTTGAGAATGCTCCTATTACAATCGATATCCCAGTATGACAACCTATTAATGTTATAATAAATGAATCTAAAGTACGCTTTAAGCATGGAAGATCGATCGGGTTCTAAAGATATAAAGCCCCGAGAAGAAAAAAAGAAAAATAATCAAGATGAAAATATAAAGGAGGCGGATAAAATAGTTCAATATGCTCCTAATAACGAGCTTTCAGAAAAAGCTCAAATGCTTGAAAAAAATTAAGAAATTTCAATAAATTATATTAATACAGGGAGAAAATGAGACAAAAAAGAAACATTCACCGATAATCTTTTTGCATATAATATTACAATTGATATTTTGAATAAGGATCTTGAGTCTAAATTTATTGAAGAATGTCGACATAGAGATGATTGGCCTAAATGGAAACATGCAATTTAAGAAGAATTGAAGTCTCTCATGAAATGAGCATTTTTTGGATCAATAGTTAAAACACTCGAAGATGTTAAGCCGAGTAGGATACAAATGGGTATTTGGGTGAAAACAAAATGAAAAGGATGAAATTGTGAGATACAAAGCAAGACTTATAGGACAAGGGTTTTCATAAAGACATGGTATTGACTATGAGAAGAATGGATGCAATTACATTTCGTTATCTTATTAGCTTGACAACATATGAAAAAATTCATATGCATTTAATAGATGTGATTACAACCTATTTATATGGTTCACTTGATAATCATACCTATATGAAGGTCCCAAAAGGACTTAAAATGCTTGAAGCATATAAAGTACATTCTCGAGAGATGTATTCAATTAAATTACAAAAATCTCTATATGAATTGAAACAATCTAGACGCATATGGTATAATTGTCTTAGTAATTACTTGTTAAAAGAAGGTTATAAAAATAACCCAATTTGTCTATGTGTCTTTATAAAGAAATTTGAAAAGGGATTTATGATAATTACTATATATATTGATGATTTAAATATAATTGGAACTCTTGAAAAGGTTCTAAGTGCCATAAATTATTTAAAAAAAGAATGTGATATGAAAGATCTTGGAAAAATAAGATTTGGTCTCAACTTGTAGCTTGAACACTTAGAAGATGAAATTTTTATTCAGCGAGTCAACATATATAGAAAAAAGTACTATAAAGATTCTACATGGATAAGGGTCATCCATTGACTAGTTCGATGATAGTTCATTCAATTGATGTCCAAAAGGACCCTTTTCGACCTCGAGAAGGTAATGAAGAACTTTTTAATCCCGAAGTACCATACCTTAGTGCAATTAGTGTAGTAATGTATCTTGTTAATAATACCTGGCTCGATATAACATTTTTTATAAATTTATTAGCAAGATATAGTTTTGCTCTAACACGAAGATATTGGAATAAAATTAAATATATACTACGTTATCTTCGAGAAACAATTGATATGGGCTTATATTATTCTAATAAATCAAAGATAGAATTAATTGGTTATGCGGATGCTTGGTTATTTATCCGATCCACACAAAACTCGATCTCAAACTAGTTATGTATTTATATATGGAGATACAACTATATCATGAATATCTATGAAGCAAACTATAGCTACCACATCTTCAAACCATGCAAAAAAACTAACAATTCATGAGGCAAGTTAAGAATGTATTTGGTTAAGATTAATGACCCATCATATTCGAGAGATATGCGGTTTATCCACAAGCAAGGAAGTTCCAATGATCGTATATGAAGCTAATATTGCTTGCATAGCTTAATTAAAAGAAGGATACATCAAAGGTGATAGAACGAAGCATATATCACCAAAATTATTTTTCACACATGATCTTCAATGGAACGGTGATATTAATGTTCAACAAATTCGATCATGTGGCAATCCAACGATTTGTTCGCTAAGGCATTATCTACTATCACTTTTGAGAAGATGATTAACAAGTTTGGAATGTGTCATCTTAGAGATCTTAAATAATGTTTTTAACGGAGGGAGCCCAATATGAGGATTAATGTGTATGAGGAATACTCGTACTTTTTTTCTTTACCAGGATTTTTTCCCATTGAGTTTTTTCCTAGTAAGGTTTTAACGAGGCATGTTCCTTATACAATGGATATTCAAGGGGAGTGTTATGAAATAATGAATATCCATTTGAATGTTCATCTACTTTTCATATCCTCGCTACTCATGATTCTTAATATGATTCAATTCATTATTTATTATGAGAAATTGAAATGGTGATGTAATTGATTCAATAATTTATGTACTTTTAATTATTCATAGTTCATTTCAATTCTCTTCTCAATTTTGAAGCCTATAGATAGGCTTGATTGTTCATTAGTTGGTGTACAAGTTTTTAGAGAGATTAAAAGAAAATATGAAGTTCTTATCACTTGTATTCACATTATAATGAATCATTTCCTTCTCATCCTTTCTTTCAATTCTCCTATTATTTCTATTTCTTTTATAATAATTTCGGCATTTTTTTTCCATTAATCTCCTACAAATCAACACATTGTCTCAATAAGAATATAAATTCTTTTTACTTAGAAAACAAAAAATACACGCCAATTTAATGACTTCCACACACAACTTTATCTATGTAATAAAATTTTCAAAACAAAGAAAAAGAGGATAAGAAAGTAGGAGAGTTGATCCTTAATTGGTGAAAAACATTCTATACTTAAAAAAGATGGTCTAAATAAGATTCCGAATATAATTACATTGAGCTAATGAATTGTATAATGATCATGCAAATACTTAAACGAGGCTTATCATTTATCTCCAGATGTCAATATCCTAACTTGTTTTTTTTTTTTTTTTTCCTTCAACCTGCAAACCATTGAAAAAGAAAAAAAAATCATTTTGCTGGCCCATTTCTGTACCTTTAACCTATCAAAATTCATAAAAAAATTTCTTCATTAACTATAAGGAAATTACAAATATTGTACAAGATATAAGAAAAATTCTTATACATTAATGAATCAATACAAAGTCCATTTTCTTCTTCTTGTTGTAATGACTTACTCCTACCATATTTTATTATAAGGATATTACAAATTGGATTTCTAAAATGCATCTCCATCCACCTCATTAACCTCACAAAATAACGGGCCGTTCAGGCGATCTCGACTGAGTGCATTTCCATAACTGGAGACACCATTAACAAAACCAACCTTGATGTCATTGCACTCAACATTCAAGTCCTTAGTCGTATGCCTTGAAAATAGCCAATCTCCCTTTTGGTCATGGTCAAATGTTGCCCTGATATCAAATCGTAAGTTAAAGCTCACCATCCCGTTCTTCTTGTCCATAAGCATTTTATCCAGAATTGATTTTCTCATCATAGCTATATCTGTGCGATTTGCTGATAACTTCGACTGCATTACCGTCCTTGTGTTTGTCTCCATTGAGAAAGGATGGGAAGAAGTTGAAGCAAGAAGATCGCTGAAGAGAATATCTTCTCTATAATGCACTTTGCTTTTTATGTCATCAAAAGATACTTTCAATCCGCTATTGGGGTTTCTCACCGTCACATTTACTTCCCATTCGGTTGCGAAACTTTTAGGCAAGGATGGGTTGAAGTTTGAGACGGAGAAACTGTCCACGCGGAAAACAGGATAATTGGATGAAGAAATCATCTTGGAATAGGAGTCTCTCGATCCGTTAATGGCGAGCACAAAGAACAACAATATCATAAGGAAAGTTGAGAGAAAAGGGATTATATCTTTCCATCCAAAGCTTTCTTCTGGATTTGCTAATCTGTCATTGGTTGGTGATGTTGATTGTGGTATTGTTTGGTATTGCATTGAAAGATGTTAATGCAAATACCGAGAAAAATACTGGATGTTTTTGGATTGGCAGCTTTTCTTTATGGTGTTTAGAACTTGAAGCAGAGGTTAATCTTAAGAAGCTAGGGAAGAGAATTATATAGGAGAGGTGAAAAGTGATCCTAAAATTAGGAATAAAGTTGTTTGATGATAGAAATTCATTTGCAGTTTGTTTTTCTGTAATTTGTTATACATCCAATATTTAAGCATTAATAATGGCAGATGAAATAGGTTGTGTTTGAGGTTCGGTTAATTGTTTGATGATACAAATTTGTTTGCCATGCTATGACAGTGACAGTCTTTCTTTCCGTTTTTAAGATGCAGTTAAGACTGAAGTTGCAGTTTTTGTTGTACGTATATCCTAATTTTAAGAATAAAATGACAAATGGAACAGGTTGTGTTTTAATGATACGGATTTATTTGCCTTGCCATGCCATGACAGTTTTTGTTTTGTTAACATTCAGTTAGCAACCACAAACCTGAAAAAACGAAACAGGTAAAGCATTTTCTGGACAAGCTATAAAAAACTTTCCTTGTTTCCCTACTGAAGCCCAAAGGGCATGTTTCCTACCTAGTGGTCCGGCCCATCCCTAGGGTCTGCTACCCCCAACATAGTTGGCGGGTCCCCTAGCAAAGGGGCTTTTCTCCTTGCAACGAAGCCCATCATGGTCATTCTGGTAAAAGAATCCACCAGTGGAATAAATAAGCCCATCATTGTTATGCCTCTTTAGAGGGACGGGGCGTTTAAATTGGTTTTTTAAATTAGCGGTCTTTATTTTGCTGCAGGTATTGAAAGAGTTTTGTCATTTTTAGGTCAGGCTGTCCAGCGGTGGAGCAAGGAACCTAAACCGGTAATGGCAGTATGTAACATTTTTTAGCTTAGTTCTAGGGGAGGATAGGCCCTTTGCCGATGCTATCTTTCTACGGTTTGCCGGTGCTTTAGGTTGAGAGACAAATATTTCTGTTGCAAAGGTTTTCATATGAGAAATCAAGAGTAGCGATAATAAGAAAATAAGAACGAATACAAAAGATTATAGACTATCTCAATATTTTAGATTTTCTAACTTTACGTAATATTTATATGGTTAGAGTAAAAATCTCTTCTTTAACCTTTTTTTTTTTTTCACTTTCAACGTCATGAATGTGCCTAACCTCTCACGACTTTAATAGATTCTAAATCTTTAATTATCACTTATAAAAATTAAAGAATAAATATTATTAATTTTAAAATAAGACATGACATATGAGTCGAATTATAAAGATATTTCTCACATTTTTTGGACGTACTCCATAAAATATTATCTAAAAAGTAACAAATTCTTTATAGAGTTCATAATTAGCTATTAAGTAGAAACACTCACTTTTAGATCAATAATACATCATATTAACCATAATAATCATGCTTTACAACTAATTTTTTTTTTTGTGCATTACAATATATTACATACTCAAAATAAATACTTAATGAGCAAATCAACTTCATGCATGAACTTTCAATAAGTCCAACTTTTTATATTCTAATGGATATATAAAATAATACTTTATATGTATAAAAAACATGTCAATCTCTAAGAATAATATAAAAAAAATCTACACAATTACTGAAAAAAAAAAAAAAAAGGGAAATCAAACATCAAGCGGGTTAGCTAAACTCATTTGATCCATATGATTTTTATACTGTTTTGCCGATAATGTTTTAGTTATGACATTTACAACCAAGATTAAAATTGGGGGCTCAAATTCTGTTGCAAGTAAAATTACAAGGTTTGGAGTCTCTTCTGGTCCAATTTATGTGCATATTCAAATTTGCTTTGTTGTTCTGGATCATGTGGTGAACTTGTGATAATTGTTACAAGTAATAGTGAATTTAGTTCAGTGCGGGCGTTTTTACATTTACTGTTAGCAAGTGAGGATGATCTTATACATGTTATTGCTTATCAAATCTTATTAGTTCATTCTGTTTTCTCCCTCCCCTACCTTCCTGAACACCATGTCAATACTTGCTCCTTATCAGATTAACAAACTCTGGAGAAGTATTCATCGGCTGCAAGAAATTGATGACAGACGTGATTTTATACTAATGTTTTGAGCGTGAGATTGCTCAATGTGTGACCAGAATACTATAGAAATGCTTTTGCTTTCATACACAGAAAATCTCTGCAGTGCTTTGCTAATATACTTACACAATTTTTTTTTCTTTTTTGACCTGATAACAAACACGAGGCTACTGCTATGTAGCTCAGCTTCCCATTTACATATACCTACTTATCTTGCTCGTGTCAATCTATTTCTTGGTTCTGACATGGTATCCCGGAGCTTGAGTTCACTACTAAAAACTCCCCCAAGCTACCCACTATACCTCAACAAAGACCATCCATTAGCATAGGATTCGAGAATGGCAAAACAGATTCCGAGGTTAAAATAATAACTCCAAACGGCTGTTGCCCGAGGAATTTCGTCGGGAACTCGGGACAAACTTAGCTTTGGTCTACCAGAGTACCGCCGTTGAAACGACAAGATCCTCTCGTTTCTGGTAAGTTTGTAAAACTTCAGGGGAGTGCATCGCCATAAACAATATTTGGGTGTATTTCACATGAGGGGACCCCACACAACTAGATGTATTCGGGGTGAAGTCTGCATCACCACATCAAATGGGCTGACCGGAATCTAAAATTTCTCATCAATAAGCATGGCATTTGCAGGAAATCTTTCCAGCTACCGACTACCTAGTGACGATGTTTACCCAAGCTCAAACTCAAGAAAATATTAACCCCAACTTTGAAGTATCATTACCAATAGTCATTGCACGAGCAGTTTCCTCCTCGAAAATGATGAAACCCAGTATGATCTGTAATAGTTACTTTTCTATTATAAACCCTTGAAAGAATCTTAGCAAAATTGTGGCAATCAACACAAATCCTGAGATTCTTGGCTATTCTGATTGTCGTGCCTGGCGGTGTTGTCAGAATCCCAAAAGCTATAGCCAATTTCTCACTGTGATTAGAAAAAACGTACTTTTTTTCTTCTGCATCTAAATCGGGAAATTCGGAGGTTATCTCAGCAACATAACCAGCAATCTTCAGCTGCTTAATAATCTCATCCAACATCTCATAAATCTCATCCTTTCGTGGATGAGAAACATCATCCACAACAAACTCATCTACCTTACCTTTCAATTCAATTGAACAAGAACCAGTTGTGGTTTGGATCCCCTTGTCCTTCATGAACTTCCTTAATTCTGTCACCTTCTCCCAGTCGCCAACAGAAGAATACAAATTGAACAATAAAACATAATCAGCAGCCTCTTGAGCCTTAAGTTCAATCAAATGTTCGATCACACGTTCTCCAAGCATAACATTCCTGTGAATTCTACAAGCCCCAAGTAAAGTCCTCAATATTGTTGAATCCGGTTTGACACTCATCGACATTATAAGCTGATATGCCTCATGAAGCTGACCAGCACGGCCAAGAAGGTCAACCATACATCCATAATGATGAATATTTGGCACTACCCCGAATTCCTTGCTCATTCTATCAAAAATCATCATCCCCTTGTCAACCAACCCACAATGACTACAGGCGGAAAGAATTCCAGTAAAAGTCAGATCGTCGGGCAAAACACCCGTTCTTAGCATCTCTTCAAATGCGCCAATAGCTTCTCTCCCATATCCATGCATTGCAAGACCCGAAATGATGGCAGTCCATGTAACCACATTCTTATTGTGCATACACTTAAATACACCATAAGCCTTGTCCAAATTCCCAGACTGCGAATACATTGCTATAAGCGAATTACACAAGTTCGTCGCATTATCATAGCCACGGTCCACAATATGCCTATGAACCTTCTCACCAAATTCTAAAGCACCCAAGTCTGCACACGCTTGAAGTAGAAGCAAGCACGTTACACCATCCGGTTCACACCCAAGCTCGCCACTCAGCATACCATCAAATATACCCAAAACATCTCTAGTCCTACGATTACGCATATAACAAGAAATTAACACATTCCAAGCAATAGTGTCTCTTTGAGGCATTTCATCAAACACTTCGCAAGCTTCGCCACCCTTATCGCAATGCGAATACAAATCCATCAAGTTAGTAAGTAACAAACTATCAAATTGATGCCCATCTCTTAAGATCCTGGCATGAACCTGTTCACCACCAATTAAAGAACAAACTCTAATAAAACACTTGATAACAAAAGATAAAGATACAGGATCTGCACGTAAACCTTTCTTTCTCATTTCTTGATACATAAAGAACCCTTCAATAGGTGAGTTACTCATAGAATAAGCTCTTATTAATGTGTTGTATTGAAAAACAGATGGGTTTGGAATTTGAGAAAAAAATTGGCGGGAATATAAGATATCTTGGAGGGGAGAGAGCGCCATACGCGACAAGAAAGGGAGAGAAATGGTGGGATAGTGAAGGAGCGAGTTGCGGATTAGATGGGCATGGATTTGGAGTAAATGGGACCTTACGGTGCATGATTTTATCAGGGAAATCAAATGTTGGTGGCTTTGTGTTTCAATGCTGGAAACGGGTTCTGTTTGGTTTTGTTGATGACGATGACGATGTTTCTGGAATGGTTTTGCTGCTGATGGAAGTGTTGTGGTGGTGTAATGAGAAAGAGAGAGATAGTGTAGCAGATTGAGAGAAGAACGATACGAGTTAAAAAGATGGGAGGCTTGTGTCATTTGCTGCTTCTTTCTGTTTTCTTTGCTCAAACGTTGTTTTAACTTGATCAGAAGCAGGGTTTGTGTTTTGCTACAAAGGGGTAACCAGGTTTTGTTCGCTTTTGGGCCTGTTGTTGTTTTTCTTTGTTTTTAAGGCCCTAACTAAGACATCGAAGACCTCATCTGGGTTAAGCCACCTCTAAATTACAAGGAATGAAGACCTTCCTTTCGAGGTGTCAACTCCAAGCACTTGAACACCTTCAAAGTTAACTAGGCAATCCGAGCACATTTAGGAGTTTTTTTTTCATAATAACACATTTTTAAATCTTATTTATCATAATATGATAGTTTTAAACTTATTTATCAAAACAAGGTACTCTATGTCACATAGGAACCATCTCATTTATGTAATTTGACATGTCATTTTTTTAAAATCATTTTGTTAAATAAATATTTTATCATCACATGTTAATATCTTCTTTTTTATTATTTTTTATATTAATCTATTCTTCTTCTTCTTCTTCTTCTTTTCTCATCTCTCTCTAACCTTTTTATCTATATAATGATGTAAAATGAATTCAATAATTTTTAAATGAATATCAATTTAATCTCTTTTTTTGCTTCAACTCTGTCTCATCTAACGGTGACTCAATATATAGAATCCGATCAATCGCAACATTAATAATACTTGAAGATAAGACATAATTAGATGAAGTTTTTTAAATTGGTTGATTATTTTATAGTTTATACAAATAAAAGAAAGAACAATAGGTAGAGATGATGATGAAAAGAAAGAACAATAGATCGAGATGATGATGAAGACATAAAGAAAAAGAATTCCTAAATTTGTGTTTGTTTGGATTATATAAATCTCCGAAGCTAAGTTTTTGGTTGCTTGAATTTTTTGCCAAAACATCAAGTTGCTAGGTAATATTTTATTCATGGCCTTTAAGAAAGAGAGGGGAAGGTTGTTTTGCTTTGGTTGCAGTTTAAGGCATCATCCTTTTCTTGGTAACGGTGATTGAATTGAAACCCAATATGGGAAATCAAAATGGCATCTTTGTGATGCTATAATTCTTCACTTTCTTCTTCTCTCAATGAAACGGTGTCTTTCCTTTGATCGGCGACAAAAGGATATTCCAAAAGCATCTCGACGAGTCCATCATTGTGTACGATCCTTAACAAAACACCGACACAAAATCTCTCGCCTTCTTGGGACAAATCTTTTGGCATTGTTGGCAATTTATCACCTTCTCCGATTATAATCAACAACACAAACGTATTGGTTCCTAACTTGCAATTCCACGCCGGTGTCCCTATCGGCACCCAATTGCTCTACCGAGCTTTATTTGAATTTAAGGCTAAAATAATTCATGATCCTTTTAGGATTTTGAATTCATGAAAGGGTACCAGTCATTTTTGTTAATGACATGGTATTAGGTTTTGTGGCCGTGACGATCCTAAACCTAAAAAGACTAATGTTTTTTTTTATTTTTTTCTTTTAAGAATAGAAGTTTTAGTATTTTTATGTTTTTTAATTAATGAAATACCTAAAATAAAAATAAAATTATTTAATATATTAAAATTATGTTTTAATAATTAAGAAAAAATGATGTGGATGAAAACATCTTATGTGGCAAGAAAATAGCTTTATTTAAGAAATAAGTTTAAAAGTATCCTTGTTAAGGAATAAAGATTTAATAGTGTGTTGATTAGGGAAAAAACTCGCACATTTAGTCTCTTCACAAAGAGTACGTTGAATTCGGACCTTCCAAGCTTTTGCACATATGGTGCTTAGCCACCAGCAAACCATCCTCCCATCGAAGACCTCATCACAGAAGGTTGCTTTAGAGGTCAAGAAGATGCTCTCTCTTATTTGATACCGTGAGTTCGAATATTGAGACAGGTATTTAGAAGAAATAAAAACGCATCAAGTTGTGCAAGGCAGATGCAACCTTAAAAATATAAGAATGTCCGGTATGAATACTTAATCTCAGTTAATGTATAACCTGACTTGAAGATATATTTTGTTGTCGAATAAAAAAAAATACATAATATATATTTTGATTGGTAAACCATAAACTGAAACTGTTAAATTTATACCAATTCATGAATTTTAAATTAGTTCAAAACCCTCTTTAGACCCTAGCATTCAAAATTTATTGTTGTCATTGGTAGTTCTCATGCACTATCAGTAGCACTTTCGCCTTTTCTTCCTTTTTCTTTGATGTTTCCCTCTCTTCCTTTTTTTTTTTTTTTAATGGGTTTTTGTCCCAACTCTCAAGTCCATATATCCCTTGAGGTTTGGAATCCCCATTCCTTGTGGCTTTTAGTCTTTTTAATAAAGCTTCATGGGTTGTCTTTATTTGGCTGGAGAAGCCTGGCACCAATAGAAGGAGATAGATCTTTCATCAATAGGATCTGTAGTGCAATTTGTTCTACTATTGATAAAGGATGGCATAAACTCGTTATGCACATGTAATGCTTCAAGTCCCAATTTGGAAAGCCTGAAATAGGAAGTGTCAAAAAGTTCTATAGGAAGTCCAAACTATTTTAAGGACGAGTACTCTGCTGGAAAACTAATTCAACAAGTTGTTTACGCCTTGTCTATTTGCACACAACAAAAAATGATTCTCGTTATCATTTTCATTTCGAATTTCATATGAAAATAGTTTTGTTTATAGACTTGTAATTTATTTCATATATATATATATATATATATATATATATAACAGAGTATAAAAAAAGGCCGGTAGAGTCTCTCAAAAGCATAGTACATCTATAGAATCTTGACTATTTAGCACAGTCCTTGTCTGATTGAGTTTACAAAAGCAGATTTTTTTTGAAAAAAATAATTAGAGACACGCGTTACGTCACGATTAAACAATCGTATATATATATATATATATATATATATATGATTAATGATTTGTATGATGCGGTGCGAATAGAAGTTTTAATTCTAGTAATTAATGTAAATCGAATTTATATATTAAGTGAAATCGTTTGATTTATATATATTTATTAATAAAATATTTAATAATATTATCATAAAAATTTATATTTGAATAATTGGTATGTTCTTTCAAAACTTTATCTAACTTATTTTATTTTAAAAAAATTAGAATATGAAAAAATAAATAATAAATAATTGATATTATGTGTGTAGATATATAGTTAATTTCTAACAAAATTAACGATATATATATATAATACTTAACGATTCGAGTATATAGAATAAATAGAAAAATATATAAAAAAATTCACCTAAATTGTATGAAATATATTGAAGTCAATAGATTAAAATAAAAACTTCAACAAAATTGATTCTAATAAATTCTGAATAAATATATATAAAAAAGTAAATAAAAATTATGAATTTTTTAAGCGATTATGAATTTTTTAAAAAAATTGAGTCAAACTATCTAAAACATATTTTTAGCTCTCTCTCTCTCCCCCTCCCTCTCTCATAAATTATAATAATATATTTTTTTTAAATAAAAAACTCATTTAAAAAGCATAAAAATAATTTATTGTATAAATTATAATAATATATTTTAAAAAAATAAAACACCGACGTTCTAAAATTTTATTGCAAAAGTCATATATTAAAAAACCAAATTTATTAACTTAACATATAAAATTATATCAAAAAATTAATTTGATGAAAATTTTAATAAGAAACAAATAATTGAAGAAATAAATTTTAAAAATATAAGAGTAATATAATCGGATATATAAGTTCAAACTAAAATCTTAAAAAATATCATATATATTCTATCATCTTCAAACTCGTACGTAAAACTAAAAAAAATAACGATTTTTTTATATTTTTCATACCTAATTTCATAATAATATATATATGAGAATTTTAATAAGAAACAAATAATTGAAGAAATAAATTTTAAACAATAAGAGTAATATAATCGGATATATATGTTCAAACTAAAATCTTAAAAAATATCATATATATTTTATCATTTTCAAACTGAACATAAAACTAAAAAAAATATCGTTTTATTTTTTATATTTTTTCACACCTAATTTCATGATATATATATATATATATATATATATATAGAAGAAAAAAAAAGATCAAGCTGACACTGGTTGGGTTGAACAGTAGCTAAAGCCCGCACGTCAGGCATTAGCTGTTATTCAACCCAGATAGAAAAAAAAAATCAAACCAAATGAACTAGGACACAATAAATGAATAGTGGTTACTATTCAAATGCCTCAGTTTTTTTGTTTTCTTTATAATTACAAAAGGATTCCAAGTGTTTGCCAGAGTTAATTCTAATTTAGTCCTTATAATTTAGTAAAATTAATTCATTAATCCTTGTACTATAAAAAAAATAATCGGCTCTTTGATTAGCATTGATCGTTCTAGAATTTGTAATCTTTTATTCCAAAATTGCGTTCTTTTCCAGTTAAAGTTTCCTATATTATCTACTTCTCCTTTTCTCTTTCTATTTCCCCCAAAAAAAAAAAAAAATGAAATTAGCAAAGATGCTTATTTATAAACTAATAAAAAATTGCAGACTTTCTGCTAAACTACAAGGATTGAGTCATAATCAAGTAGTGTTTGCCCAGCTTCTTAAAACCATGGTTTTGAAACTTCAAGATGCTTGGAACCTTAATATGCTAACCTCTTCCCTGTTTCAACTCTTTGCCTTAAAGGCGATCTCAGGCAACTGTGTGACCAAGATCATGTTCTTGTGTATTTGGCGAATTAGTGTTCTGAACGAATTAATTTGGAGGTTAGCAAAGAGTTGTAACAGACAAGAACTCACTGAGCCTTGATCACAAAGCTGCACGGGGACTAAGTAAGGATCACGCAAATAGCACTTCCCTGGTCAGCAATTAGGACGATACAGAATCAAATAAATGCAATTAGTGCGAATTCCCTTCTTTTTCGTATGGGCTATATAATATAGGATTAATAGCATAAAATGTCTCTTTATTTTTCACATTTTCT